AGAGAGAGAGAGAGAGAGAGAGAGAGAGAGAGAGAGAGAGAGAGAGACGTATAACACATTTGAAATATCATCTCATGAGCCCTTTCGTATGACGTGACACGCAACTATTTTTTTTAATACCACACTTTTATTTTTTGACAACTGATGATTTATTTCTCCAACGGATTAGATTCTTATTTAAGAAAAATATGAACAATCAAATCGTGTATAAATATTACACATATATATTCCATATAATTAAAAAAATATATATATATATTCCACTGATATTTGTATAAATTATGAGGAGAGATTACTTATACTATAGAAATATTTTTATATTTTTTCAAAAAAAGGCCAAAAATTGTACACTGAAAAAAAAAAGCTGTTGCTTCAATTAAAGTGCTATCACGGAGTGCCAAAAACATAAATAGTTTATTCAATTGTATTATTATTAGACTCAATATCTGGATTATTAAATCAATAATTAAATTATTGATTTAATAATCCAGATATTGGGTCTAATAATAATCAATAATTAAATTATTGGTTTAATAATCCAGATATTGGGTTTAATAATAATACAATTGAATAAACTGCTTATGTTTTTGGCACCCCGTGATAGCATTTTAATTGAAGCAACAGCTTTTTTTCTCAGTGTAAATACTACAAATCTGTATTATATCTGTATTATATTACTCGTATTATATTACTATTTTTATGTATACATTCTTGCAACTATCTACCTTCTTGCTTCGGTATTCGCTCGGGTATTCGTATATCTTCGCTTTAACTGGAATACTTTTGCGGGACTACTAATTTTGCTGAAGCAACAATAACTCGCACGACGAGTGCAGTCGGACGTAAAGCATTTATCCATTGATACGACCATCAATAATCTTGACAAATCGGCAAACGACTTGTCACTGGGTGATACAGTAGCAATCGGCATGCAGTTCCGTGTACGATGTCGATGTACAAATCGGTGGACAAATTAACCAAACCGCTAAGGCATGTATTTACAATTTCCGATTACGATTCATCGCCTATACAATTAAAATTATATTATATTAGAATAGAATAATATACATAATTTTAAATTAAGAAAGAATAAATTACGTAATTAAATTAACTACTATAGTTTTCTAAAGTTTTGTGAATTATTTATATTTATATACTCACACTTATACTTACACTTTATTTGAAGATCATATGAATTAATATTCATTTTAATTTAAAAAGTGTCTTTTATGTGTGAATACTCGTAATACATTTAGTTATTTTTTATTTCTTTTCTCGCTCGTTAAAGAAATTTTTAATTATTTCAATAATCTGATGGCGAAAAATATAGGAAGTTCTGATAACTTTCCTATTAGCACCTATTAGCATTAGAGGGAATAGCATAATTATTTCCTATATAATAAAATTAAGAGATTTTGTTCGTGAAACATATTTTTATTCTTACCGGGTTATATTAGAGAATTGATCAAGTTTACTTTATCATAAACTGGTGGGTGTTACGTTTATCTTCTTCGCCAACGGCGAGTCGGCAACAAAATCGTAGTGGCTCAACGTTATTAACGTGTTAAATGCTGCTCCCAGGAAACAATCGTTTCGCCGATAACGCGCGTCGGTTTTCGCATATTTGGAGCTTCATTGATCATGCAGAAAATGACTATCCGCGAATGCGAGAAACCTCGAACGTCCATCGATTCGATCGGCCGCGCGAGATCGGGCTCGACGCATGACGGACGCCTCGCTCTCTCGTGAGGGACGATGATATCCGCGCGCGAGTCGCCGCGTGTCCGTGGCGCGCACGTATACACGCGTGTACACGTGCGTGTGTACACGGAGCCCCCGGCACACACGCGCACACACGAGCACGAACGGGGACACGGAAAACGGATGATCAGGAATTGAGGCAAGGTTGATAGTCCTGGATAACAGTGACGCAAGCGCAGACGCGACAATACCCGGTCGATGTTGGCCGGGGCTGGCTGACTGGCTGGATGGTAGTCGAGGATATATTTCTCTCTCTCTCTCTTTCACTCTCTCTCCTCTCCTCTCCCTTTCTCCCTCTCTCCCTCTTTCCTTCCCCCTGCCTTCTCCTTCTCTCTTTCTCGTTCCCTGCCTCTCTCTCTCTCTCTCTTTCTCTCTCTCTCTCTCCACCCTTGCCACCCTTGCAGATATCACCCATCCTCGTCCTGTCGGCTGTCTCTGTCATCGTGCAACCCTTTCCTCTCTTCTCGCGTTTCTGCGTCTCCTCCTCGTTCTTCCGTAACTGTGGCTCCTCGTTGTTACCATTCGTTTCTACGCTGTCGCTCCGTCTATCCACTGGTTCATTTCTGGAAAATGACGCGACGTTTTCGTCCCTTTTTTCACTTCGCTCCACGTCGTCCTCGTTCCCTCTCGCTCTTTCGCGACTGTTTGGCGTATCCTCCTCCTTGCTCTTCGCACTTTGTCTCTCTCTCTCTCTCTTTCCCTCTCTTCCTCCGGTTCTGTCGCGGTATTCCGTATCTCGAGCCGTCGCCATTTTGAAAGTAGAGGGATCAACCCCATGGCCCCGATGACCGGTGAGGTGTCGAGGTCGAGGGCCAAGAGTTTGCCTCCGAAGGTCGGAGCCTTCGATCCTGAAGACGGCGTCTTCTCGCGGATGCGATGGTTCTGATTAGACAATTTTCGAAATCGTTCGACAATTAGATTTATCATTCGGTTAGTAAAAAAAAAATCATATTATTAGGAAGGATAAATTTGTTTCTAATTCCATGGCATATTACTCGAATCGCCTTGGTGATTCTCGACTTGTCAATTAACGCATTATTTTATCGCGTGTTAGAAGAGATACGACAAATATCTTTTCACCATGCTACTTCTCAATGTGTTCAAATCTCCCTTTAAGCGTTTTATATTTGGAACAAAGAACGTATTTTGAAGAAAGAATTTTAAAATAATCCCCCGGAAAAGAGTTGGAAAGAAAAAGAGAAAAAAAGAGAGGAAAAGAGAGAGAGAGAGAGAGACAGGAAAAAATTTCGCTTTCATTTATCGTAATTCGCGTATCCAATCACTTCCGTGCTCGAAAAATATGAGGGAATTGCGATAATGGTTTATTTCACAATATAACGTATAGGTACTCGATACCCGGCGCGTACGATCAACCATTGTACTTGTTAACTTTCGCGCATTATCTTATCGCATTATCTTATTGTTTAAACTTACCGATATTAATATTCACGTTCCATTCCGAGTCGGGCGATTTTTTTTCATTATTTATTTTTCATTACTTCACCGTAATGGATGGATTTATGATATTTATGTACGCAAATACTTGGAGAAAATTGCGTTTTTTTATGGTTTCGAGGCACGCAACAAACCGAATCTCGTTTAATCGGACTTAACGTCAGGAAATTTCAGAGTCAAGTACACACTAGACTAGAGTACACGTGTAATTTTCCGCGGAAGGTCGAAGGGCATTAAATGTCTTGCGCGCGCCATTTTGACATCACCTACGCGTCGACTCGTCCTCGTGGGTGTATATTCCAGCTGATGCTGATGTATGCCGAATGTATCGGATCTCATCGAATACGCAGCGATCTCACTGACGCACACACGGCCACGCGACGTTCTGGATATCAATGGGGGTGCATGCTCGATCGAAAATGGATAAATCGAAGTGGCTGACATTAAACTGGTTTCCGCGGGTCTTCGCGGCGCACGAGCGGCAGCGCAAATTTAGAGAGAGCAAATGGCTTCGCGTAGCTATTTTTATTACGATTTCGCAGAACTACTTGTTTTTCCGACGAATGATAAATAAATAAAAAGCAATAATGTACATGCAAAGTCGAATGCAGTCTCATCGTGAAAATAACCTGTAACAACGCGAGCGAGAAGAGGACTCAAGTTATTTTTTTGTAGTATCCGTATAAACACCGTTATTAGTATTCTATTTTATCGTCGTGCGTTCATATATTGCAGTGCCCTTTATTCGGCAAGCATACACGTGTTTTTCTCTGACGAGACAGCCTGAAACTGGAAACGCGCTCAGCATTCAATATGCGAGGGAAAAAAAAATATTGCTCGCGACCTTGCAAAATAAACAGCAGAAATTGTTCTTTTCGACGTGAAATGTCAACTGCGACTGTATATTTCCACTTGTATCGCGGGAAGAAATTCGTTTCCATAGAATTAATGTAACAGGAAATAACGCTGCGCTATCATGTCTGACTTGCCTTCAGCGCGAAACTGCTTCTTCCTTTCTACACGGAATCATTGACCCTTCCCTTCAAACAGATATCGAATACCTGCGAACCAATCGACGAGAAAGGTCGTCGGCTCGTCGGTTCAACGGAAGGCAGGAGAAACCGCGCGCGAAACGCGCATGTGAAAATAACTGCAGGAGACTTGAAACAAAAAAGGCAAGCAAATGCAGCAAAGTGAAGCGAAGTTTACGTCGCGTTCACCTAACCGCAATTACGTATTCCAGCAAAAGTTGTCATTTTTATCCAGCGAGAAAGCTCTCTGTTTCCTGCCCCCTACCAACCCCCCCTTCCGCGTCCCTCTCTATATCCTCTCTGTTCTCTCTATCTACCTCTCTCGCTTTCCAACACGCCGATTGGACGGGAGCTTACGAAAGTTCCAGGTATCCCGGAGGACCGCCCACCGGTCCTTCTGTCGCCGGGAAAGTTTCGTCATTCATACTACGGCAGGACGGGCTACTAATATCGTCATATTATACCCGGAGAGCCGGCCTAGTCATCTTTAGAGATCACAGAATATTTTTGCAGAACTCGGGGGAAGAATATCATTATTTCAGTAAATCGTTTCCGCGTGTCGGTTTAGAAGGAAAAGAAAGACGGTTGATTTAAATATTTAATACGGGAAATATATATACATAGAAAATAAAATAAAATGTAAAAGGCACAATTCTCGCGAAATCCTCTGCATAAACGTATTCGTCAATTCTTTAAAATAATGTGTATTGCTTGGAGTTAAACGAGATACTTTAGCATTAATCTTCTCTTTGCTTGTTTCTGCTGAGAGGCTCAGAAACTTGTATCTTTGCCAGGCTCCGAACAGTCTCGCTATCCATTCTTTATTTTATTGATTTAAAGAAAACGGAAAAGGAATTTTGTCTGTTAAGCTGCTTAAACAAAATTAACAAGCAGTACTTCTGGTAACGTGACATTTGATTTCTGTTGTGATGTGGAATGTATCACTATGCTATATGGCCTTCACTTTCGAGCTAAGATATGGTTTTGTCGTTCGTTTTTCATTGAACTTCACGAACCTACTTTACCTTTGTAGACGAAAGTATCAAGTGTTCGTCGTTACACTCTCTCAAGTTTCCCGCCGCTAAAAGTGAATTTTTAAACGATGCTCAAAACCCACGTAATTGGACTCTGGCCCAGTAGAACATATTTAACAAGAGCTTATCCGGGGGGTAGTAAAAAAGTTTCGGTTAAAAAAGCTCCATTAAATCTGGCGGCTAAAGATATAGAGGTATTATGGAGACGAGGACGCGGAAGACTCGTTTAATTTATCACCTACTTAAAGTCCAACGATCTCGCGAATAGAAGGCCTTTTTTAACTCTGGTTTCAACCTGCTATCTCCCTCGAACTGTTTCTCTCTCTCTCTCTCTCTCTCTCTCTCTCTCTCGCTTGATCAGCTTTCTTGCCAATTGCTTGCCCTCCGACTTTGAATTGGGATTCTATCGAACGCTCGTAAAAGGATACTTTTCGATCTTGCTAAGCAAGGCGATACACGTTTACACAAAAGACCACCGTACTTTTAGTGCGAATTTTACTCTTGTCGAATGACGATATGGATCATTGGATTCTTTCCTACGTAAAAATCTTACGTGAGGTAAAAGATATGTGAAGTACCTCTACAAGGAATGTTCTTATTACGAAAAAAGTATTACTATAAGAAATTATACGCCAAGAGATCTAAACAAAATAACTAGAGAGATAAGAGAAGAAATATGGGCGTGGATATTTAAAGTTAGAAGATCATAATTTTAATGAGAATAATTCTTATTTTAACTTTCTCTCTCTTCACATCAGAAAAAACTGTCAAATCAACACTGATATACTTGTATATATACGCAAGAACATATAATTTTTTTATAAGAATTTTAACTTTTTTTTTATTGACTTATATGTATAAAATTTTGTTTAACTATATAAATAGCTTTATTCAAACAAGTTTTTTTCGTTTAATGCAATATAGTCTCATTTTAAGATTATATATTCTTGCGTATATACAAGTATAGGTATCAGTATTGATTTGACACTTCTTTTTTTTCTGTGTTGGAATAACAGATCCAATTTTATAACAGTAAAATAATATATTTAAAATAGTAAAGATATGATATCTCATAAAGCTTTAGAAAATTCACTCAAAGCTCATACTCATTTACGATCTACTTTTTCATGTTCTTTATTAATCCTATATAGTCTTTGCTTTATAGTTTTTTATTTAGTTAACTCTACATTTTGTTTCTTTTTCCCTCTAAGTCTAATTTTTTAATATAATTATTTATGTAATTATTTTCTGTTTTTGTAGTTTAAAAAACCTCTTATTTTTTATCTTTATATATTTTTATCTTATTTTTATATAACAAGGGAACGGTCGGAAGTGTCCCTCATCGATTTGGATGAGCTTTGGATATGTTGTAGAGCATAAAAAAATATAGACTCCTATTTTTTTTTAGCGGCGTATCTCAACATTTAGGGGTTGAAACAACCCCACAACCCCTCGAAAATAACGAATTTTATAATTTTTAGAATATCTTCGAAAATATAAGGCATATGAAAAAAAAGTTTTATACAAAAAATTTATGGTGTTTTGTGCTCTTTACAATGGCGTAATCACATTTTTCAAGTATGTCAAATTTTTTAATTTAACCTCACACCCACCTATTATTTTTGTCGAGATACGCCGCTAAAATAAAATAGAAGTCTAATATTTTTTGATGCTCTACAACATATCCAAAGCCCATCC